ACAGAAAATACAATAAGAAAGATGAGCATTTATCCAATAAAACCGGTCTCTATGGAAGAGAAAAATCGGCCGGGTATTGGGTCTCCTGTACCTATGCCTTTGGACTGAAAGCCCACCAAAGGCCAAAAGGGGAACAAGGGCTGAGCATGGAATGTGCCTCGTTAAGATGCCAATTGGCTTGGAGTACTATCGCTTGATTGGCCAGGTTTGGTGTGTGTGTGTGTGTGTGTGTGCAGAAGGCTGGGATGACGGGCAGGTCACCAAGTGTCTCGTCGGCTGTGAATGGAGAACGAGACTGTATGGGGTTCATGGGGCGAAGTCGGAGGAATTGAATGCAATTAACGATGCATGGTCGTAGTCATAGTCTTAAAGGTCCGGTGACAGCTCGAGGGCACATGTGGTGCCCATTTTACAGGATGGGGGTAAGCAGACTGCAGTGCCAAAAATGTGCCGGCGACCGTGAAATCGGGTCACTACAAGTCCTGTCATCACAAGACCACAGTTAGATAGCCTCAAGATAGACAGAAGAGATTGTGGAACCGAGCAGCCGCAGCCGCAGCCACATCCACGAAGAGATCTTGGGTCACCCAAAACACAGTTAACCTCGGAGATTGAGGGTTCACTAGATCTGCGCATTTGCAAGCGGTACGGACAAGTGGTTTATCGAAGAGGGTTTTTATTGCATAAAACTTAACAAGTGAAAAGCAACCGATCGGTCCAGTGACATTGAAGGTAGATCTTACAACCAGATAGACACATGCGCACCCGACAAACGGAGAAGTGAAAACGACCAATTGCCGACACACGGACAAACATAGACACTAGTGCACATTCGTATGACTAATGATAAGCAGAAGTACAGACGCGAGAATGCGCAGTAAATGGAAAAAGGAAACACACGAAAGACGAAAATCGAAATAGAACAGCCAGGTACAAGAAAGATAAGAAATGGAGTAGAGAAATTGATCAAAAGGGATCGGCAAGAGCTCGACTCACTCAATAGTGTTGAGCGGTTAGTGTAAAGGGTGGACGGCGATGAGCGTGATGGAGGAATGTGATGAGTCTTACCGGCACATAAAGACAAATAGTTGAATGCGTCCGTATCTGTCAGCACG